GGCGTCAGCGCCCGAGTGCCGCACGCAGGCCACCGTCGCTGGCAAGGCCAGGGGGGGGGGCGCCAGGGGCGCCCTCCCCCTGCGCCGCGGCTGCGGCTGTCTCCCCTCCGCCCACGAGATGCTTAGAGACCTCCTAGGTGGGGTCCGGGTAGAATCGGGGAGACGTAAGACTCGGGTACGGGGGACTCGGGTTGGCCTGACGGGGGCCATCATAAAAATGATGAGACCCAATCTGAAATTTGACGCGGGCTCCCGCTGCAGACATCCAACGAAAACGGAACCGTCAAAATCCAGGACGCGCTCGTCAAAAGTTGGCAAACCCGAGTTCCGGCTTACTCGAGTCTTACGTTTCCCCGATAAAAGGGGTCGGAGGATTGCACCGCATTGCCAGTGCATCGGCGATGCATCGGCGATGCATCGGTGACGTCGGCGATGCATCGGCGCCATCGGCATGAAGAAACTCGGGCTCCGCATCGAGCCGCCTCGCCGAGGCATCGGCGACGCGAACCGAGCCTCCGACCCCATCTACTCCGACCCCATTTGGAAGGCCTAGAATTACGCAGATGATAAGGCTAGCTCAGTCCACGGCTGTACAAAATCCGGCGCGTCCTGCTGGCAGCGCGGTGACGAGTCTCCACATGGGCCCTCGGATCCGAACGCGCCGCAAACGCATCGCGACTGCCACCGCTTGCTGCGTTAGGCCTCCGGACGCCGCTTCCAGCCCCGGGAATGTCAAAAACCAACTCGGGATTTATGTTGCTCCCATCGTACTTAAGGACCACATCCCAGAAATCATTTCGAGCACCCGGAAAAGTGTCGAAACGGTGTCGAAACAGTGTCGGGCGAGCGAATCCCAGGGCCTGACACGCAAAAACCATCGAGTTTCGGTACTTTTTTCGGGTGCTCGAAATTCTCTGGCGATCAAGGCTAAAGTAGGTTAGAACATCATAACTCGGGATGAGAAGCCGGTCACTGGGAAAGTCGAAAAACAACTTGGGAAAGCTGTTGGTCGTCCCCATGGCGCCCGGCAGCGCGCCCAATCGCGCGCAGAGCGAACAGACTGCGTCTCCCTCACGTGGCGCTGTTGGGCGCTCCATGGCCGCTCTAAGGGGGCGATTTGAAGGCTACTGGGCGCTGCTGGGCGCTGTGGGGAGCTACTGGGTTTTGGACGCCCGACATGGGTACCGACAAAAATGGGTACGATGCCCAACAACACATGCTGCCCCAAACCACCAGCGGCCGCTGTTGGGCAGGCGGCCGCTTGTCTCAAATGGACACAGGCCGCGGCGGCGCGGACAGCGAGTCCTGTTCAAAATGAACAGGAACTGCTGCTGGGCATTGTACCCATTCTTTCCGTGCCCACCTCGTTCGTGCCGATGGGTGCTATTGAGCGCCACCTGCCGGTACAGCTCCGCCCGAGACGAGCCGAGGCCTCCGTGGCAGCTCCACGGGGTGGGCCCCCAGAGGCCTCGACCCCCGAAGGCCAGCTGTGCATCCCGAGTCGGTGCTCGACGGCCTCGAGGCCCCGTGAGGGCTCCCAGAGTCCGAATACATACATACATACATACATACATACATACATACATACATACATACATACATACATACATACATACATACATACATACATACACACATACATGCATGCATACATACATACATACATACATACATACATACATACACACATACATACATACATACATACATACATACATACAGACACACATACATACATACATACATACATACATACATACATGCATACATACATACATACATACATACATACATACATACATACACACAGACATACATACATACATACATACATACATACATACATACATACATACATACATACATACAAACATACACACATACACACATACATGCATACATACATACATACATACATACATACATACATGCATACATACATACATACATACATACACACAGACATACATACATACATACATGTGTACCTATTGTTTGGAACCCAACAAAACCCGTCGTGCGATTGTTCACGGCGCGAGGGGGTCCGTGAGCGGGACGAGAGCCCCACGGGCCCACTTCGCGAGAGGGCTTTCCGACGGCCGCCGCGGCTCGCGCCTGCCGAGTGGCGTGGCGCCGGGTCTCGCGCTGCCCCGTGTGAGCGACGAAAACACAAGGTTCTTACAGTCATCGGCCTGACCTCATGTACGATAAATAAGGAACGAAGCCCCTTTTTCCCAAGGAGTACCGCATAAGGAACGATAAAAAGTGCATAGAGCATAAGGAACGATAGCAAAACGCATGCAAGCCTAAGGAACGACCGAGCCCATGTTGAAAAGTAAGTGTTCCTTATTCAAGCCGCTCACTGTACGCGAGATGGCGTAGGGACCTTACGAGGTGGCTTACGCGGTTCGCCAGCGCGGCACGCCACATTGGAGACACGAGCGCTCACGCGCGACCTGACGCGGGCAGCTTATACGCGCCACTGTCGGCGCAGACGAAGCCGCTCTTTTGCGTCGCTCATGTGAGTCTTCTGCCTCTTATCAGGGGTAACGATAGGGGAGACTGGCATTGGGGAGGACACATTGACCTGGAATCAATGGTGCATCGCCAATACGTCGGAGGCATGCCCCCGATAGCGAGTCCGTACATTCCTGGGCTGGGTGGGCCATCGGGCCCTATCGACGATGAATGGGCGATTGGGGGTCGATGCATCCCCCCCTATGCCAATCCCCGCTATCGATGCCACCGATCTTGGCGGCTCTGGGGGCCGTCCACGTCAGATGAGCCACGAAAAGAGACGGGGCTTATTCCAGATCCCTTATTAATCGTCCCCCGGGTCTGGTTTCCTCAAGCGCCTTTTTTGTAACTGGGGGGGGTCGGGTTTATTAGGGCGCTGTCTTCGGATCGGAGCTTTGGAGTACAGTCGTGGCGTTGACCTAAGGAACCCCAAATGAGGAACGGGGCCCCTTTCTCCCATAAGTTGAACTTCGATTTCCCATGGAAAACCTCGGGAAAACAGAAGGCAGACTGTAGAACAATCAAGGAACACCGAGCCTTGGATGCTCGTTCTGGGGACCTTCCTGGAGCCACTCGCTCCACTCGTGCGTCGAAGCTGCGTCGAACGTCAGTCGAGTTGGGTCGACCCTGAGTCGAACATGAGTCGAACCTGAGTCGAACCTGAGTCGAACCTGAGTCGAACTTGAGTCGAACTGGAGTCGAACTGGGGTCGAACAGATCCGTTAGGTGGGCTCCAGGAAGGTCCCCGAAACGAGCATCGAACGAGCCCCGCCCCAACGAAAAAAGGTTCCTTCTGCAGGGCCCCGGGCTGCACGCAGGATGGCACAGCGACCTCACGCCGCGGCTGGCGCGGGCCGTCCGCGCGGCCCGCCCCGCGCGGAGACGAGGGGCTCTTGCGCGCGGCCATACTCGGGTCGGGCGAAAGGGGGGATACTCAAAAATAGTGAAAACATAATCTGGGGACGATTTTTGAGTATAGTAGTTCTGATTATCCTTTATGTTTCGTCCACAATCCCCCTGAAGGAGGACAGGCCCGACTCAACCTTACCCGGGGTCCTGGCTATACCCGAAGATCGGGTCGGGCGAAAGGGGGGGATAGCAAAGGGGGGCGTGAGAATCAGCTCACGTAGCTGATTTTCCCGGCGCCTCCTGGCGCCGGAGGCGGCCATGTATCGAGGAATGAGCTCCTCGGTGAGGCCGAAACCAGCTGCATGCAGCAAATTTCGTTACCCCCCCGCTCCCAATCCCCCCCTTTCGTCCGGCCCGACATACGCAGGAAGCCCACGCGCGAACGTCCGCGCAACTGGACCCTTTGTTCTTCGTCGCTCAAGCCGGGCTGGATCAGACGGCGTCAGAGCATCGCGCGGCAAGGTAAAACGACGCGAAGATCGGGACAAAATCGGATCGGGATAACTCGAAATCTCTGAGAATCGGCGGGTTTGGAGGATGTATTGAGCGCCGCGGCCGCTCCAGAGCGTTCCGGAACGCTCTAAGAGCGCTCCGGAACGCTCTGGAGCGATTTATCCCGATCCTAGCCCTGTTTTACAAGGTCGTGCCGTGACGACCCGAGCGCTCTGGTTCCTGCCTGCCCGCTCCTCACTCCAGGCGTGCACGGCCCCAGATCACACGGCCGACGCCGCGCTTTCCTCGCGGCGTCGGCCCCCCCCCCTGCCCCGGGGCCGGTGTTTCATCCCGAGGCGTCTTGTGACGGCCCCGAGGCCCCGTGAGGGCCCCCAGGGGCCGAGGGGGAGGAGGAGGAGGAGGAGGAGGAGGAGGAGGAGGAGGAGGAGGAGGAGGAGGAGGAGGAGGACAATGGCGAGACACTTCCCGTCGTGGGTCGCTCGAGACCTGGAACGATCGCGGCTTCCCGACAGCGCAGAAGCTTCCGCAGCGGCCGACGCTCGGCCGCCGGCGGCGGCCGCACCTCGACCGCCCGCGAGCGGGGACCGCCGCCGCGGTCCGACACGACACATACGCATATCGCCGATGCTCGACTCTGCACGCAAGAGGGGTCCTGGGCAAGAGTGACCTGTGGTCGGAGCATTTTCTGAGGGTGGAAGGCCCAGTGTGAAATCCATATGGGCTCTTGCGCCTCGGAAACCAGTCCGTCTCGTGAGTCGCCCCGTGCAGATTCAAGCCCCGAAAATCCGTCGAAACGGCATGTCAGCATGCACCCTGTGCCCTCCATCCAAAGAACATGCTCGGGTGGTGCGCGGCGTCACGGGGGGACGCGGGGTGGCCACAGCCAGGCGCGCAAGCCGCTGCTGTCGCGTCGCCTTGGGCGAGCGGGGGGCCCCATCGGGCCCGCACCAGAGGTCACTCCAGCGAAGGGCCACTTCTGACGTCTGATCGGGTCGTGCTGGCGATGCGTCGGCCTGGGCGCCAGGCCGCGCCGCAACGCCCATGCATCGGCGACGCGTCGCCATCCTCTGACCCCTCCTGTTCCAGCATGACCTGGGGGGGCTCTGGATCTCCGCGGCTCACTAGGGAACCTTGCTCTCGATGGGCGTGATCGTCTTGCCCTTCACGATTGAGCCCCATCCGATGAGCCGCCAGTGCTTGTCGATTCGGCGGCTCAGAGCGACCTTGTCGCCCTCCTGGGTGCACACTGCATTCGTCAGCACGATCTTGGAAGGACAAGTAACACCAAGGACGCCAACCAAGCCCCCGAACAGCACCCATTCCGCCCCTCCCTCCACCCGCCTTTTTGCCTTCTCCTAACCCCTGTTCACCCCTTCCCCCTTTCACGCTTCCCCCCCTGCTCCCCCCTGCCACCCGCACCTCCTTTAACGACTACACAATATGAATACAACTCTCCCCTCTCCCCTGATGATGTCTGAAAGATATCCAGCCCATCTCTGCGTATTGATTGTTCTCGGGCCATGGGTTTTCGCCTGGGTTGTTGTCCAAATGTTGCTCCCGCTGAAGCGCTGGCCCCATTTCTGCGCCTCTGGTTGTTCCAAATCATGCTCCCACTGCAGCGCGGGCGTTTTCGGTCCTTCCAATTGGACCCCAAAATCTAAAAAATGCCCCCCCCCCCCGAAAAAAAACAGCGGAAGTGATTACACATTCGGTGTCGATTCGTTGAATTTTAGGTCGCGGAAGCCCCCAACGTGGGCGTCGTCGCTTGCATGAAGTATCAATCGGGAGCCCCGCTTCTGCTTGACCAGACGAGGTTGAAAGCAGAGCCAGCGGGTGCTCTCCATCAGCCCTTCCTTGTGTGAAGCTTTTCGGGGAGCCCAAAGAGCTAGACATGGAGCCACGACTCCAAACCGGCCCAGACCTCTCGAAGACTATCAACTTACCCTCCAAGGAACCCAGCGCCATGCCATGACATGCTGTACGGTGTTGTGTTCTGCGCCGCTGTGCGATGCCATGCTTTGCGTTGCAATGTTTTGTGATGCAATGCTTCACAACGCAATGCCACGCCATGCTATGGCATGCTACGCTCGTCCGTGATCTTCAACGCCATGACATGCCGTGCTCTACATGCATCGCGTACCCTCTCGCGATCATTGCTCTGCTCGACGTCCGACGGTGCGAATAGATCGGATATCTACGCCACAATAAAGGATGGGAGGCAGGGAAAGGACGTCAGATATGACGCGAGCGCACCTAGCTTGCCTGTCCCCCCTCTCCCTGTCCCCCCCCCCCCCACCCAGCTCCAACCTTGCCCACGTCGTCATCCCCAATGCTCACGATCCTGCCGCCCGCAGCCAGGGAGCCGATGTTCACCATGAGAATTTCCCCCTTCTTCAGCTTCGACACCTTGCCAGCCTTGGAGTCCCCCTCCGTCTTAACGCCGAGCAGGCGGCGGAGGAGGTAATACTTGACCTCGATCTCAATGTAGATGTCGGGCAGCTTGCCGGGGTGCCCCATGACCTGGCCCAGCATGCGGTCGCCGCGTGTCTCGGTGGGATCTATCTTGGTCCCAACGCCAATGAGACCTCCCGGAACTGCAAACTGAAGCGAGTTGGCCTCGGCTGCTAAAGAGATGATCCGAGAGCGGATCGGCTTGCACGTGGTGTTACCGCTGGCATCCTTGCTCGTAGTTCCAGGCCTGATCTCGATCTCGTCGCCGACCTTCAGCACACCCTTAATGATGGACCCGCCACAGACGCCGCCCTTCAGCTTGTTCACCTCCTCCCCGGGCTTGTTCACGTCGAAAGACCGAATGATGATCATGTGTGGGCTGGAGAGAAAGTCCCTGGGAGGGATTGGTACCTGCGTGCACAGGTACTCGCACACAATCTCGATGTTATACTTCAGGACGGCGCTGAGAGGGATGATGGGGGAGCTGTCCGCGGCCGTCCCCGCCACGAACTTCTTGATTTCCTCGTACTGCGCCTGCGCCTGCTGCTCCTTGATTAGCTCGACCTTGTTCTGGAGAATGATGATGTGCTTCAGGCGCATGATCTCTACCGCTGCCAGGTGCTCCGATGTCTGCGGCTGCGGGCACGACTCATTCCCGGCGATCAGCAACAGCGCAGCATCCATCACGGCAGCACCATTGAGCATTGTTGCCATGAGAATGTCGTGCCCAGGGCAGTCCACGAAAGACACGTGCCTCTCGAGCCTCCAGTTGCCGCCCTCCTCGTCGGGAACGACGTCGGGCGTCTTGCTGCCAAAGGAGCAGTAGTTGGCGGGCCGGTCCAGATCTGCCCGGTCGTTCTTGTAGATCTTCGCGTTGGCGTAGCCCAGCTTGATCGTGATGTTGCGCTCCTTCTCCTGGGGAGACCAAAAGATGCGGGTACCGCTACTCCCCGGACCTCTCCCAGGGTGCGTTCTGAGCAGGATTTCGAGGCGAAGCCAGCGGTAGCGACGAGGGCCGCCCAGGAGGCCCAGAAAGGGGAAAACGGAGGAGAGGTACTCCAAATCCCTTCTTAATCGTCCCACGGGACCGGTTTTTTTTGGCGCCTTTGTAATTGGGGGGGTCCGGTTTATTAGGGCGAGTTCGTTGGATTGGAGCTTCGGGATCCGGTTTGTTAAGGCGCCCCGTCGAAGAGGGGGGTCCGGAATACTAGGTCGCATTTGGAGGGGGTCCGTTTTTTTAGGGGGGGGGTCGATTATTAAGGGATTTGGAATAGCGATATGGGCAATCACCTTTTTATCCTCCGATCGCCTGCTTGAAGCGGATCGTGTTGGACCCGCTCAGAGCACGGACCACGGTGGACTTACCGTGCGCCACGTGGCCGATCGTGCCGACGTTCATCGTGGCCTGGCGACTGATCACCTCGGGCGACAGCGGCGTCAGCTTGGTGATGTCCAGCTTGGACAGATCCTGCACGGCCAGGCCGTCGTCCTCCTCCTCCTCCTCTCGAAGAAGGGAGAAACAAAAAACGCCATACAGTGGAGGCCCGTGCCAAGAAACACGCTGCTTGCCTCCAGGATGCCCTTGGCTTCGGGTTTCAATGGTTTGCTGGGCTATGGGGAGCGCGCTGCTCCCACGCCAAAATTCGAAGGACGGCCTGGGGTCTCAGGGTTGGGTTTCTTGTGGAAGGTTTCTTGTGGTCGGTCCTCAACTGTAAACAAAACGTTTTGACGCTCCGCGCGGATTTCTGGGATCTGGCCTCCTAGACCCCCTCCCTGGCGCGCGGAGCGCGCCGAGGGGCGGCGCCGGGAGGCGCCGCCTGGGGGTGACCCAGCGCGGATCCTCCCGGAAATCCGCGAGGAGCGCCAAGAGTCGTTGTCTCTGTTATGGCGCCTTTTTGTTTCTCTTCTTCGGTCCTGCTCGTCCGCCTCGTTCTTGTCCTCCGGGTCCGCCATCGCGACCTCCGACCTATCTACGGCCGGGCTCTGCCGCGCTGCCCGCGAGAAGCCCCGTCCCCACGCCGCCCTGCGCCCCAACGGCTGAGGGGCGACGGCGCCAGCGAGGCGAGGGCGATACGAACGACCTCTTGTAACTGCACCTGGCCTTAGGTTTCGGACGCCCGAAATGGGTACGGAAAGAATGGGTACAATGCCCAACAACAAATGTTGTCCCAAACCAACAGCGGCCGCTGTTGGGCAGGCGGCCCTCTGTCTCGAATGGACACAGGCCGCAGCGGAGCGGACAGCGAGTCCTGTTCAAAATGAACAGGAACTGCTGTTGGGCATTGTACCCATTATTTCCGTACCGATTTCAGGCGTCCAGATAGGTCGGGCGTGCCCTCCTACAGGCGGATTTGGACGGAAGCCAAAAAAGAACACTCACAAAACATTCAAAAATCGTCAGGAATACTCCTAAAAAACTGGATTCTGTTTTGCATAGTTCTGAACGCTCACCCCCACAGGAGAACAATACACAGCAAAAGCAGATCGACTCTTGAAGTAGGAAGGCGCTTGAATGCGGGACGGGAAAATGACCACAGCCACTGCTTCTTGTTTGCGCCGCCTTCCAGCCGGTCGAAAAAGAAGCAGTGGTTGTGGTCATGTCCCTCATGCCGAGCTGAACGAAAATGACCCCAACCACTGCTTTGCTTCTGCTGGCTCGAAGGCGGCAACAAAAGAAGAGCAGTGGCCGTGGTCGTTTTCACGACCCGTATTGACTGGCCATCGCTCGGACGTCCATTCCCTGTGTTTTTTGTTGGTTTCGCGCGTTGCTTTTTCGCCACATGATCAAGGATGTTCCTCGATGGTCCTCGCCGAAGGAAATAGGCACACGTCCGAGCCATGCCAAGTTGACGCAGGCTGAGCGATCCTCGTCCTCCTCCTCCTCCTCCTCCTCCTCCCCCTCCTCCTCCTCCTCCTCCTCCTCCTCCTCCTCCTCCTCCTCCTCCTGCTCCCCCTCCCCCTTAGTGACGCAGGCTGGGGGCCGGGAACGCAGAACTGCCAACTCTCGGTGGCCGGCGCGTGCACACGGCAAGCCGCGGCGCGGGCACGCCGCCGCTCTGGCTCGGGCCCTGCCTCGGCCTCCTCGAAGGGCTTCCTGTCCTCGCGCGCCTCGGGCGGGGGGAGCTCTCCTCCTCCTCCTCCTCCTCCTCCTCCTCCTCCTCCTCCTCCTCCTCCTCCTCCTCCTCCTCCTCCTCCTCCTCCTCCTCCTCCTCCTCCTCCTCCTCCTCCTCCTGGGGGGCACTCTGAGAGGGCGGGCCCGCCCACGGCGAGAGCAGCAAGGGGGGAGTGCCAAAAAGCTGCAGAGGGAGATGGGGATCGGCGGCGAGCGAGGGGGGGGAGTGGAGAGGAGAAGGCCCGCTCAGAAGGCGGGGGGACTCTTCTCAGAAGCCCTCGCGCCTTCCAAGAAGCTGTCTGCGTCTTCGGGGAAGGCGTGGAAAACTTCTCAGAAGGCCGGGGGACCTCTAAGCCTTCTGAGCAGGCTCGCCCCTTCTCACTTCCCCCCGGGCTCGCCGCCGAGCAGAAGAAGACGAGGACGCACGACGACGAGGCGGGCGGACACGCAAAGACGGAACGGATGCCTCATGTAGAGAAGCGGAGGAGCCGATCTGGACTGCAAGTCGTACGCCCTGGGATCGCGGACTCGTGCAAGGCCGAAAAACGGAGGAGGGGGGCGCGAAGGCGGAGGAGCACGAGGAGGGAGGGTAAGACACCGACGGCGACGACGGCAAGAGAAAGCCTGCCCGAAGGAATGGGGGCGCGATGCCAAAGACTCGCAGAGCAGATTGCACAGCAGATCGGGGGGCCGCATCGAGCATGGAGCAAGAAACGAACACTGAACACTCACCGCACAAAGACGGGGAGCACACAGCAACAACCAGCACTCGGCTACCATGTAGGTACATGTGCTACACCGTTCGAAGCAAACATGTACTGCTCGACTAATCGTGCCACCACCATTGTTATGAAGAGAACTGTGGATGCTGGCACGGCAGTAGCGGCGTGATCAACACAGAAGCATCGATAGCATCAGCGCAGGGTGCAACAACGCTAGGGGCACTGAACAGCCAGGGCGATTCCAGCGCACTCATACAGCATGGCATGATATGTGGTCAACCCCCAAAATCATAGCCTAATGAGGCACACATGCTAGACTCAAGTCATGGACCAACTGCCTAACAACAGACTGCACAACCAACAACCACCACAGAGAGGAACAGACGATGGCGGTGGCAGCTGGCCGCAGCAGAACACTGACCGCGAGAGGCCCGCTGAGCCGCTGGTCTAAGGAGGGCCTCTGCAGTCTGGTAGAGCCAGAGGATTGTCTGAAAGTCGACCTGCGTTGCAACCCCCCATGTGTCCATGAATGCCTGCATGTCTCCCTCCTCCTCCTCCACCTCCTCCTCCTCCTCCGCCTCCGCCTCCACCTCCTCCTCCTCCTCCTCCTCCTCCTCCTCCTCCTCCTCCTCCGCCTCCGCCTCCGCCTCCTCCTCCTCCTTCTCCTCCTCCTCCTCCTCCACCTCCTCCTCCTCCTCCTCCTCCCCCTCCTCCTCCCCATCAGCCGCATCCTCCTCCTCTCTCCTCTCTCCTCTCCCTCTCTCCTCGCTCCTCTCTCTCTCTCCTCTCTCTCTCTCCTCTCTCCTCTCGCCTCTCTCCTCTCTCCTCGCTCCTCCTCCTCTCTCTCGCTCCTCTCTCCTCTCTCTCTCTCTCTCTCTCTCTCTCTCTCTCTCTGCTCTCCTCTCTCCTCCCTCCTCTCTCCTCTCTCTTCTCTCCTCTCTCCTCTCTCTCTATATATGTATATATGTGTGTATCTTATTTCCTCTTGCATATCTCCTCTCGCCTCTCTCATCTCGCCTCAATCCTCTCTCCTCTCTCCTCTCTCCCCTCGCCTCTCTCCTCTCTCCTCTACTCACTCCTCTATCATTTCTCATCTCTCCTCTATCCTCTCTCCTCTCTCCTCTCTCCTTTTCTCCTCTCTCACCTCTCCTCTCGCCTCTGGCCTCTCTCCTCTCTCCTCTCTCCTCTCTCCTCTCTCCTCTCGCCTCTCTCCTCTCTCCTCTCTCCTCGCTTGTCTCTCCTCGCTCCGCTCTCCTCTCGCTCCTCTATCAGTTTCTCTTCTCGTATCCCTCATCTATCCTCTCGCATCTCGCCTCTCGCGTCTCGCATCTCGACTCTCGCCTCTCGCCGCACGCCTCTCCCCCTCCCCCTCCCTCCTCCCTCCTCCCTCCCTCCTATATCCTCTCTCTTTTCTCAGTTCTCCTCTCTCTTCTCTCCTCTATCCTTTCTTATCTCGCCTCTCGCACCTCGCCTGTCGCCTCGCCCTTCGCTCATCGCTCGTCGCTCCTCGCTCCTCTCGCCTTTCTCCTCTCTCCTCTCTCCTCTCTCCTCTCTCCTCTCTCCTCGCTCCTCTCTTCTCTCAGCTCTTCTCGTTCCTCTCTCCCATTTCCTCTGGCCGCTCTCCTCCTCCTCCGCTCTCCTCCTCTTCCGCCTCCTCCTCCTCCTCATCCTCCTCCGCATCCGCCTCCTCCTCCTCCTCCTCCTCCGCCTCACCCCCCTCCTCCTCCTCCTCCTCCTCCTCCTCTCCTCCTCCTCCTCCTCCTCCTCCTCCTCCTCCTCCTCCTCTTCCTCCTCCTCCTCCTCCTCCGTCTCCTCCTCCTCGTCCTCCTCCTCCTCCTCCTCATCCTCCTCCTCTTCGTCTTCGTATTATGCTTATTATACTTCTTCTTAGTAGTATTATTAATATTATTCTTGTTCGGCTTCGTCTTAGTCTTCTTCGTCGCAGTAGTCGTCGTGTTCGTCTTCGTCTTGTCATGCTTCTTATTCGTATTCGTATTCTTCGTATTCGTCTTCGTAGTATTCTTAGTATTCTTAGTAATAGTATTAGCCTTATTACAATTATTAGCATTATTAGTATTACTAGTATGATTATTATTAGTAGTATTAGTACTAGTATTCGTATTCTTCTTGTTATGATTCTTATGAATAGTATTCGTCTTCTTATCATTCGTATTGTTAGTCTTATTATTCGTGTTCTTCGTCGTAGTATTCTTCTTCTTCCTCCTCCTCCTCCTCCTCCTCCTCCTCCTCCTCCTCCTCCTCCTCCTCCTCCCCCTCCTCCTCCTCCTCCTCCTCCTCCTCCCCCTCCCCCCCCCGTCCGCCTCCTCCTTCTCACATTTTTCCTCCACCTCCTCCTCCTCCTCATCCTCCTCCTCCTCCTCCTTCTCCTTCTCCCCCCTCCTCCTCCTCCTCCTCCTCCTCCTCCTCCTCCGCCTCCGCCTCCGCCTCCGCGTCCGCCTCCGCCTCCCGCCTCCGCCTCCGCCTCCGCGCCTCCGCCCCCTCTCCTCCTCCTCCTCCTCCTCCTCCTGCTCCCCTCCTCCCCTCCCCTCCTCCTCCTCCTCCTCCTCCTCCTGCCCTCTCCTCCTCCTCATCATCCTCCTCCTCCTCCTCCTCCTCCTCCTCCTCCTCTCCTCCTCCTCCGCCTCCTCCTCATCCTCCTCCTCCGCCTCCGCCTCCGCCTCCGCCTCCGCCTCCGCCTCCGCCTCCGCCTCCGCCGCCGCCTCCTCCACTCCGCCTCCTCATCCTCCTCCTCCTCCTCCTCCTCCTCCTCCTCCTCCTCCTCCTCCTCCTCCTCCTCCTCCTCCTCGTCCCCTCCTCCTCCTCATCCTCCTCCTGCTCCTGCTTATCCTCCTCCCCCTCCCCCTCCCCCTCCCCCTCCTCCTCCCCCTCCCCCTCCCCCTCTCCCTTCCCCCTCCCCCTCCCTCCTCCTCAACATCACCCTGCTCCTTTAGATCCTCCGCCGCTTCCTCAACCTCCCCCTTCTTTCGCTGCTGCAACATGACAGATAACGCCAGTACGGAAAACCAAAACAACGTCGGAGTACAAGTTCTGGAGACCATTCTGGCTAGGACTTCGAGGCAGACACAATGTTGGCGGCTGGGGCGCACCCAAATGCGCCGGGGTGTCTCGCCCCATCCGTAACCGATCGCATTGTCGAAGAACGGAATGTTCTGATGAAGCGTGACGCTGACATCCTCATACGTTGTTGCTAAGACGTCTCTGACGCTGGCCACGACACTGAGCGGAATATCTCTGCGCAGTGGAGCTGCGCTGACGGTGACAACTCGCATGGGCGTCCGACTGCGATGTCGGGCTTCGTCCGCTCTTCCTTCTCGTCCTGATTACATCCTCCATCTCCCCTTTCACAGCATCCACCTCCTGTATCATATCCGATTGCCTCTTCATCATGCGCATCGAATCCCAATTCTCAGGGTCGCCGTTGCCGGCCTGCGCTCGCACCTCACACGAATTCCGAGCCTCAGCACCGCGGCCGCTGCCTTGAGGCACCTGTCGTCGTTGCCCTCCTCCTCCTCCTCCTCCTCCTCCTCCTCAGCCCCCCCCCCCACTTCTCCTCGTCCACCTCTCCTTGTACTGCCTCTCCCGCCCACCCTCCTCCACCTACCCCTCCCCCTCTCCAACCACCTTCACATCAGCGTGCTGCAGTGGAGAACCCTGGATCACCCGGGAGGCCCCAGTGGGCCACCTCGGAGCGCTGTGACATTGTCTTGGTCTGGCCCTCGGAGCGCACGGGGGCCTCCAGAGAGGGACCAAGATCAAATTAAGCAAGAGATCCTTGCGTAACGGGGGTCTCTTTTGGGGGGGCTCAGGGAACTCCGAAGTGGCTTCTGAACATGCTCTTGTGGACCCCATTGGGAGCTTCTCAGAGCCTCCTGCGTCTCAGAACTTTCTCAGGACGTCATGGAACTTCTTGGCGCTGGACGGTTTCCCCCGAGACCGTAGGCGACCCGAGGAGGGGAGGGCGACGAGGAGGAGAAGGGGAGGAGGAGGAGGAGGAGGAGGAGGAGGAGGAGGAGAAGGAGGAGGAGGAGGGCAAGGAGTCGAAGGATGGCGAGGAGGAGGAGAAGGAGGAGGAGAGAAGAGGAGGAGGAGGAGGAGGAGGAGGAGGAGGAGGAGGAGCCCAGCGTACAGAGGGAAGGAGTCTCCCGCCTAAGCCCACGAAGCCGAAGAATTTGCCGCGGGCGGCAGGGGCGGGGGCGCGCAGGGCGCGCCTGAGTTGCGCAGCACGTCGAACTCGACGTCGGGCGCAGCCGTATTTATATTCGGAGGCGACGAACGATCGATGGGAGGAGGGGGGGCCGAACAGATCAGAGCGACGGACGGAGGGCGAGGAGCAGACCAGGAGCACGGGGCAGATGATTTTGCCGCAGGCTCACGGTCACGTGATGACGGTGGGCAAGGCCTCGAAGGTGGAGTCGGAGCCGCCGCCAAAGGACCGCTCGAGACCGAGGTAGCACAGGCAGCCGCTCCCAGCGACGGACAAGGCCTCGGAGGAGAAGACGGAGCCGCTGTCAACGGAGCCCTCGCGACCAATGATCCACTGGAAGCCGCCAACTGCGACGAGCAAGGCCTCGAAGAAAAGGACGGAGCCGCTATCAAAGGTCCACGCGTAGTCAATGATCCACTGGAAGCCGCAATCTGCGAAGCACAGGGAGTGCCAGCTGTGCCCAGATCCACGCCCACGTGGCTCCCAGACGCCGTTTCGAGCACATCAGTAGCAAAACGGTGTGGCGACATGGAACGCCCGCTCCACATAGGAGACGGACGATTCGGGTCCTGACCAACATCACAGGCATCGGAGTCCGACGGGATCGTAGCAATGGCTGTGGAGACGGTGTCCGAGTCGCTGTCCGAGGAAGATACCGCCGGCGTAAGTCGGGGCGACGACACCGAAGAGGAAGACGAAGAAGAGCTGCGAATGAGGTAGTCCCGTCGGCCAAGTTGCTCGCGGTCGACCTCCGAGCACTTCAGCGGCGACGCGAGCTGCATCGCACGAACACCAGCGAGAGCACAGCTACGCAGCAAGCACGGGGACAGCGGCCACACGGGCGCCAGCCTCGCTTCGTTGTACATGTTGCACGCGGCAGCCATCGCAGAGTAGGTGGCCAGCGAAGGTGCAGATAAACCCCATCTGTCCATCCACGGCAACGGTTTCGGTCTCGCTAGTGCTTGCCGCAGGGCACGGTGCATGACAGGGCACCTCGCGTAGTGCCTCAGCGAGTCGAGCTTGCCCAAACATCCGAATACGCAGTGCTTCTGGCCGTCGGGTGAGATGATTCGGGCCGAGGTCATCCAACCATCAGACCACGTGCGCAGGACGGCCATAGCCCATGAGCACGGGCAGCGGGCGAGGACGCTCTTGCACTCGTCCCAGTCGATGTTCGAAAGGAGGCCCGCAGATCTGCCAGCGAACTTCCTCAGGCGGGCCAAGAAGAGGTCGGTGATGGGCCTGTTCAGCATCGCGTAGGCCCGCAGCGCATCG